GAATAAGTCATCCTTGCTTATAAAATTTAACATAATAACAATTGTATACGTAATGGTTATTGGTTAATGAAAGAGAACCTTTGTTTTATAAAATTAGAATGTAACTGTTCATTCGATAATTTTCGCAAACAAAATTTGAATCGAGCATTATTACAAAAAAATCTAAAGACCATGCCTTAAAATTGCCTTAAAATTGCCTTAAAATTAAACATTTTGTAAAATCGTACGATTATGGTTTCGTATCAATTTAGCGTCAGAAAGGGTGAAAATAAAAAATAAAAAAAATAAATAAATACATAAATAAATAAACCAGAAATTAAATTCTCGTACATGTGATTCAGCAATCTACAATGTTGTTGTCAGGACAAAAAACGAAGGGCGGCATTAATAATGCTAATTAAAAGTACCGAGTTAATCAGTACTGCAATAATATCCGAGGCATTACTAGTGTCGCAGTCGTACAAAGTTGAATTGTTTGATAAATAAATGTGAAAGAGAGCGGGTGGAATGAGAGCGAATGATGGGGGGGGGGGATAATAATAGTTCGCCTTTTGCATATATCTTACCTGTTTGAACGATCGATCGGTCGTGATTTCAATGGACCACTGCTCGCAGTCGGCAACTCCTTGTTCGTCTTTCCCGGACGTTTCCTACGAAAATTATATAAAGAAGATAATTAAAGACTAAGCCGTCACTGTACCATAATACCGAATGTGAATCTCTGCCATTAATCTCGTCGTTTTCATTAAAAAATTTGCATATAAACGATGAGAGCATTATTTGAGACTCTATTTTGTACTTTCATCAAATATTCTCAATTGCAATGGGCCATTCAGTGCTTAGTAAAAACAAAATATTATAACAAAATAGACAAAATAAAGCAATGCCTTGGATGACATTGGCCATCTCACATTGCCAAAAATCCTCGAAAATAAAACCAACGATCCAGCAATCACTCGACATCGCCACGTTAATTTAATTTAAAGTTAATATATAAATACCCGGGGCCAAGTAGCAAGGGTTCAACGATTGAATTCCTTCTCGGTTAAGTGGTTAAGTAAGATGGTCCATTGCACGAGCGCAGTTACATCAATTGCATTAAACGGAGAAGAAAAAGAGGAGGGTAAAGAGGCGCGTCGCAAGTTCCGAGAAAGCGCTTTTTGGCTTTAAGCCAGCAGACCCAAAGTACATTTCCGAGTCTTACGACCGGGATTTAATATTTCAAAATGGAAGGAGGATTTCAACGGGCGCGTCCCACGGACTGACTTCCCGAAAGACGGTATTTTGGTTTTCAATTTTCCGTCTCGAGTCGAGATGCTCGATTTTCTCACGTCGCCTAACCCCGCCTGGAAGAAACTTTCTTCGTGGACATTTCATCTTCGATTGAGCATGCGCGAACCCAGCGTCTACTTTGGTTCAATTTATTTTTAAGACCCTCGAGTTAACGGTTTATTTATACGATTTGATAAATTCGTTAAGCCTACGCTCGACTCCTTCTTATCATACCGAATAATCCAGTTTATTATCATGTCGTTACTTTGGTCGAAATTCTATATAATTAAGTCATTTATTTAGCAATTTAGCAATCATAATAGATAGCCATCATAGAGACGCTTAATGCTGCGACGATCGTAAGGAATTTCATCGGAAAGCTTTTATTGTACACTATTTATCGTCAAATTGTCTAATATACGTGGTGCTATGCTAATTTCGTTATATCGCCTCATCAAGTACCTTAAAGTCCTTATTTGCTCCACAATGTTGATTTACCACGCAATCACTTGCCGTAAACTTGATTGGCCGAGTAATGTTAAATAAATGGAATTAAGCATTGCAGCCTAAGGGCTAATGTTTAAAGAGAGTCGATGCAGACGGTAAAGTACGAAGATTGAAAGAAATGTCGTGTGTCGACGGGATGTGTAATTAACAAAATTGCCTCGATTAGCCGAACGCTATTTGTTTTTTTTTGCTTTTTTTTTTTCTACATCTTCTTCTTCTTTTGGCGATGTAAAAATGCACTCGGTCGGACGTAGTGCGAGGGGTATTGGATGCAACGAGGGACCCGGGCCAGTCAATAAATCCACACGAGCTAAAAGAAGGCTAAAATTATGGTTTAGAATGCACTCACAGGACAGGTAGCTTGGGACTGGCGCTGCTGTCGTTGCTCTTGGTGGCAACGGAGCTGGACTCCTTGATCGGAGCCCTGGGCATGAGGGGCGACTGCACTACCGACTTCGGAATGCCGGGCGAATACTTTTCCCGATTGATGGTCCGCCTGTTGCGCAAGATGGGCGCGCGGTACCTCATGCGGGCTTCGAGTCTCTCCTTGGCGACGTTGTTGTTGGTCTGAGGACTGGCGGGAAGCCTCGTCGAGCGCTCCTTGCAGAAGGCGACGTGACGCTCGTAGGATTTGACGCCGAACTGGCGCTGGCAAGTTGGACACTGGCCCTTCTCGTTCGAGCGCATCGGCGCCCCCAACGACGTCACCAGAGAGAGGGTCGACGGCCGCTGCTGCGCACCCTGGACCCCGTGATGATGGTGATGTTGCTGCTGTTGTTGTTGTTGTTGTTGTTGTTGTTGTTGTTGTTGTTGTTGTTGTTGTTGTTGTTGTTGTTGTTGTTGTTGTTGTTGTTGTTGTTGTTGTTGTTGTTGTTGTTGTTGTTGTTGTTGTTGTTGTTGTTGTTGTTGTTGTTGTTGTTGTTGTTGTTGTTGTTGTTGTTGTTGTTGTTGTTGTTGTTGTTGTTGTTGTTGTTGTTGTTGTTGTTGTTGTTGTTGTTGTTGTTGTTGTTGTTGTTGTTGTTGTTGTTGTTGTTGTTGTTGTTGTTGTTGTTGTTGTTGTTGTTGTTGTTGTTGTTGTTGTTGTTGTTGTTGTTGTTGTTGTTGTTGTTGTTGTTGTTGTTGTTGTTGTTGTTGTTGTTGTTGTTGTTGTTGTTGTTGTTGTTGTTGTTGTTGTTGTTGTTGTTGTTGTTGTTGTTGTTGTTGTTGTTGTTGTTGTTGTTGTTGTTGTTGTTGTTGTTGTTGTTGTTGTTGTTGTTGTTGTTGTTGTTGTTGTTGTTGTTGTTGTTGTTGTTGTTGTTGTTGTTGTTGTTGTTGTTGTTGCTGCTGCTGCTGCTGCTGCTGCTGGTGCTGGTATTGATGTTGATGTTGGCTGTTGTTGTTGTTGCTGCTGTTGTTATTGTTGTGATGATGATGATGATGATGATGCTGCTGCTGCTGCTGCTGCTGCTGCTGCTGCTGCTGCTGCTGCTGGTGATGGTGGTGATGATGGTGTTGCAAGGACGACGAGCTCAGCACCTGCGTTAACCCGGATTTTACATTTCTTTAAAGACTCGTGCTTACGGAGATGCGAAGCGCTACGCATAAATCAACATCCGCTTTATGCTCGACTCCGAACATTAAGTACTCGGTTTAAGTCTCTCACGCGGGATCGCTGATGGAAGAGTTGGGTGGCTTATTTCAAGATCGACGATAACAGTCCTTCCTCTTTTCTTATAAATATAAGAATATAAGAATTTATTGTTGGAAAGTGTTTTAGGGAATACAGTTAAGCGGTAAATGCGATTGGAGCTTAGAGTATTTCTTTGAAATGATTGTCGATGTGCTTATACTTAAAATGCATCGATGAAAGATATTCTTACTGAATAATTGGTCGTGAATTTCTAATTTGAATAAACTCGTTGAATGGCCGACCAATGATATTTCAAAATGGCCTGCTATCTACTTTTTAATACCTGTCGTTTTAACGAAGGTAGGAAGGAAGATGGACAAGCGCGCGCGCATTAGGAATAAATGAAAAATCTCAATGACGAGTGCGTGTTATCATCCTATCATAAATATCCGCATCGTTTAATAATAACAATGCTATAAAATAATAATTACACAAGGTATTAATTTACAATATCTACGAGATTAAAATATTAAAGAGTTCACGTTGATCTGCTTTCTTTATCATCTTTTTACGCGAGTATGAAAAAGATGCAAATTTAAACAAAATTTTCCCCAACTTAGTAAGAGAATATTCCATAAATTTCCGGTCCATCTGAAGATAGACATTTCAATATTTACTTTTCTCCATCCACGTACGTATAATATGTAAATGTATATTCTTGCGCCATTAACGAGCGCATAAAACGCGCGGCTCTTAATTTATTATTCTTTAAAATTCAAGTTTTTCCACGAAATCCCGATGCACTCTCGTTAACACATCTTTTTTAAAGACAAAATTTCGGTCACCAATCAGGCGCACCAAAGATATTCGAGAGAATTAGTTTGGCAAAAAGCGTGGATCAAAGTAGCATGTTTAGACAAAACTTTTGACTTTAACCTCACGAAGACACCTCGAGATAAAGCACGCAGGAGTAAATCGAATACTCGAGAGCCGACTAAATAAAATAATCGGTCATTGGCTAAAGCTCTTACTCCAAAATTACTTTCACGAGAGAAGCAGACGAGTTTATTTCAAACGAGGCGATGAATCACTCGGCTCCGTCAGATTCGCGCGAGCTCAGCTTCCGTGACAACAGTCCATTCACCCACCCCCTTTCCCCATCCCCAATCCCGCCATTCCCCCTTGCGCAACAGTAAACCTGCCACACCCCCCGTTTCTCCCACCTCTTCGTTCTGCTTCTCCTCCTCATCCACGTCCCCCTGTCCGACACCAGCGGCCCTCGTGCATCGACGACGACGCAAATCCGAAACGCCGCACGAGTCGCGAGGTCGTTCGTACTCACATTGTGTCCACGTGCGGTACGTATCGCCCTGAGAAACTCGTCGCGCGTCTGCTTCCAGGCATTGCCTGGCTTCTTGCAGGACCTGTCCTCGTGGTGGTTTCCACTGGGACGGCGCGACTCCGAGTGCTGATAGTGGTGATGATGCTGTTGTTGCTTCGGCAGGAACTCGGCGAGCTCCGTGCCCTGGATCCGCTGTCGCGCGGAGTCGAAGGGCTTGCGCTTCTTCGTCGTCGCCCTCTCGCAGATTTTCACGTGCTTATCGAACGAGCGAGGATTAAACTTCCGATGGCATACGCCACAAGGCAGCAGCGCTTCCTGCTGCGCATCTGCGTAAATACGAGGACGTTGTTAATGATCGGGGAGGAGTGGGGCGGGACGACACGCGGACGCGCGACCAGACTCGACATTAGTCCCGGGGATGGTGCTGTAAATTTTTAACGGGGCGATTGGGCGGAATGCGCGTGCTCGGTTATAAGGAGACTCGGCCTTATGATCGCGCGTAGATCGCGTATTTACATTCACTGCCAATGTCACGCGAGCTATGTGTGAGTTTTTAAGAGTCAATGGGCGTGGGTGTACATTTTAGAAACAATCCCGCGCTCGCATTTCCATGTTCATGAGATTTCCATGTCGTTGAGATGCTGAGTAAGACGTAGCTACACAAGGCTTTTTAAATATCGTTTTTCGTGCTGCACGCACTTTTTTATAGGTCGCGAAGGATGCTCCGAGCCGTATTACCAATTTGTGTGAAAATGTCTTGCTAATTTCATGGAAAACAAATCGTGCGACTCGCTTTTAATATTTATTCATTGAACATGCGTCGTCGTTCGAGTATACTTTCCTTATAAATATTATGAATGTGAATTTGTGTGGCAAGCAACGCATACAACTGGCCTCAATTTTTATTTTATCATAATTATTGCTTCTTTTATAATTGTAGATGTTGTAAGAGTATGCGGATGGATGAAAAAGCAAGTGTGATATTATGAAAGACTAGAGTATATAAATTGCCGTATAACGGAGTTCATATAAAATATATATCAAATGATAGTTCGATAAGATTCATCGTAATTTACGGGGCAAATGACATTTATTTTATATCGAATTATACGATTAATTATTAAACACTAATTTAACTCAATAATACGAATTCACTCGATTATTATAATACATAAATATTGTATTTACGTCATTACTTCCATTATATATACGCATAGATAGATATATAAAAATATATATAAAAATATTTCAAGATTTTGGCTTTCGGAGAAGTACAAAGTAAATAATTAAGGGGTGTAAGTGAGATTATTGCGCAATTATCAATATGAATAATGTATTCTTACTAGTTATTTAATTCTACGGAATAATAGGATTCAAATGTACCGATGTTTAAATTTATAATCAAAATATCCTATCCAATTAATGCTTCACCTTACATTTTCAAATGTAAAATTCTTCTATCATTAATGATCGATGTTTGTGATACGATGAATATCACGTAAATCACAAAACCCCTTTATAACAATCATTTTATGAATTATTTTTCCTTATTTACTAAATATGGAAATGGAAAAGAATTATTTAACTTCATCTTCACCTTAAGTGAGTATTTAAGATTTCGTAAAATCTTGTCTAAGCCTATATCAAAAGAGAAGAAGACCTGCGATATTTGATGACATTGCAAAATCAAGGTAAACCTTACAAATTAAAAATTCAACTTAATAGCCTATATATTCATTATAAATTATAAGCCATTTCCTTATCAAATTAAGTATATACTATCTTTGGATTTGCAATAATACTTTTTCTCATACTTTTGAAAAAAAAAAAAATCTTTTATTGTACACGTTCGATCTACATTTTTATATATATATATATATATATATATATATATATATATATATATATATAAAGTATTGCCAACATGTTTCAATTTTCATCTTTTTGCGATTGGTGAAGTGTCCAAAGCCTCTCCAAAAAATATTCATGAAGAAATCAGAAAATGTCGATAACTATAATAATGTTAAGACTATTGCTAAACATATCGAATGAGAAGTAACAACGTAATTCCCAAACGATTACGAAGTATAAATATCTCCATGAGACATTGCATTAGTTCCCGAGAGGAATAAAAGCTCCGCTTGGCGACGAAGATCGAACATCCTATGCTGGATCAACAGCATTAACATTTGTTCTTGCCTCTCTGAATTAGCCTTGGCTAATCTAATGCTCAAATATACTACAAAAGCTCATAAAAGTCTATCCTATACTCATTAATTGCCAATGTCTGCCTCTCTCTCTCTCTCTCTCTCTCGACATTGGTCGTACAAAAGAGGCATGAATAATGCATGTTAGAGAGCGATAACGAAGCTACACAAGTGCCACCGAGATACTCGACTACGTCCAGGTATTACGCAACGAGAAGGTGAGGTCGACGACCGTGGCCAAGCTTTTCGCACGCACACGCGCTCCAGCTCTCTGAAAAATCAAGCGCTCGACTTATCAGGTAAATCGCGATCGATCGCCCGGAAATGCTCACAACAAGAGGAGAGTGCCCGTCGTTATTTTCCTTGGCGCGTGCCAGCCGATTGCGCGATCGGTCTCTCTCTCTCTCTCTCTCTCTCTCTCTCTCTCGTGGGCCGCCAGCACCTCCGGACTCCCAAGACTTTTCCCGTCACCATAAACCATAAACCCGCACCCACGCGCCAACCGACTCGCCATGTTTGGACGCGAGGAGGTGTCCTCAGCGGCCCCAGCCGATCTCGTCAATTCGCTCGCTTACGTGCGCCTCGTGTGTTTATCAACTGGTTGCATTGTGAATGGAATTATGGGACGCATTGTGCCCGGGACTTTCGCGACTCGAACACCGAACTATGCTCCTTTGTCCCCCGTCGACTCGTTCTCTTTCTGCCGGCCATTGTTCGACCAAGAGTCTCTCTCCCATGTCCCTACCACCTTTTCTCCATGCAGCTTTCGGTGATTCGAGGCGATCGTGTCCGCTTCGCTCCTATCTTATCGGCACCTCGCCTCCACCAAAGCTGACTGGAGCCTGACGTTTTAACGAAGGACAGCTACCGAGAATCGAGCCTCGAGGTAAGACAGAGTCGGACGATTTGTCCGCGGCATCGGGCAGCGAGATTCGTTTGTTTAATTTAGTCATTAACCTGATTCGTTCAAATGCATCGTGCCATACCAATCGACTCACCGTACAAATGCTAATGAGATCATATTCTAATATGGTTGCGAAGTAAGTTGCCCGCCCATTAAATGTCAAGCCAAATGCCCCACCCAAGTCATTGATATTGCGAGTATCGGAATCTTGACAGCGATAATTTATCTGATTTTCGTAGTCTAAAAAATTTCAAAGCAAAAGGAGAGTGGCGCAACGTGTCATAAATAAGTCTCGAAATGGATTCGAGTGATTGTTAATATGAATTTGTAAAAATGGAAATACAGAAGTGATAGAGAGAGAGAGAGAGAGAGAGAGAGAGAGAGAGAGAGCCGAAAAGTATTACGAAATTATTGACAATGTGGCGAAGATGGAGAAGCGTTGACAAATGTATTCATCGAGGCTAATTAGTACGTATTGGCATTAAAAAATTCCCTAACAAAAATTATTTACTTGGAACATTAAAAAGATTAATGTGTCGCGTACGGAAGGGTACGCTACGAGAGATGGGAGAGAAATTCATTGTAAAATTTACTGATTGATTGAACATTGTTTAAAAAAGGCGGCCACCGTTGTTAATTATGATGGGCTTTTGCGCTTATGTACGGGCATCGAGCGCACTTGCGTCTTATTGCGCGCACCTCCAATTTCGCTAATGTCCTCGTCGAGAGAGGAAATTGGAGAGTTTATATCGTCCCGATAATTTATCGCCACTTTCGGACAAAGAGGCTCAGCCGAAATAGCGAAAGCTTCGCTCGTTCGCCGAATATTTTTGCTTTTTTCGGCTCATTAAAGGGAGCGAGCGCGCATTCAAGTCCCACACGGGTCTTTTATCCATAAATTCTGCAACGACTCGAGCGCCTTGATTAAAGAGAAAGCTCGCTACGCCGCAGCAAGCATTTTGGCCTTTGCACAGGAAGAGAAAAATAAAGACAGGATGCTGAAGCGTTGGCGAGAAAACTTGAAACGCGTGCGCTTTTTCAATTGCGCGTCGTTACCGAGAAAAACCAAGCTCGACCTTAAGATACACCCAGAGCCGCTGTCGCACGCACACGCATATAGATACTGATAAATCCCGTGTTGGCTGCCGGTTTGATCAATTCGATCAACGATCCAACGAACGGCATTAGGGGTAGTGGCTAGGGGAAGGTGCGGGGAGGGGGGAGGCGCGGGAAGGGGGGGGGGGGGAGGTAGGAAGAACCAATGAATAACAGATAGCCTATACGCACTAATAGTCCTAAAGTCATCCGGAATGCATGTGTCATTCCAAGGTTTTATTTTATTTTTTTTTACTTTATTTTTTTTTTGTTTTTACTTAGTTTTTTTTCTCCGTATTTTAGAATCGGTAGAAAATAGGACTGTCGTGACTCCTTGTATCGGGCCTATTATCATAAATAAGATGCTAAGTCGACGCTTACGAAGATGGCGATTACGAATTTGGGCGTGAATATTTATACCGGTAAACCTATTTCAACAGATTTCTACGAAATTCAATATATCTCTCGCACTTTTATAGATAAGTTTTTTAAAGGCTTTTTCTGTCTTTTACTTATCATATTGTACAGATTATTATTCGTTATATTGGGCCGTTTATTATGGCTTCAACCACTACTCGGCTTTTAAATCACGGTTATAAATCATGATTCCTCTTCGTTTTTTTTTCTTTTCTTTCTTTCTTTTCTTTTTGGCAATCATCGCGCATATCGATGACTCTTAATCCCGTGGCGGCAATGTTATTAAGAAAATTTTCCTTCCGTTTCAATTTCCTAATAAGTTGGATAAATGTCGCTTCGAAGGCCCGGTAAAGCAGCTATTGGTTATGTCTACGTCTACATTCGCAATTCAACGTTTGCGAAAGGTACACAGAATTATCTCTTGCCAAGATAACATTTACATTCGAAGGGGAAAATAATGAATACAATACGCACAAGTCGAGCCAAGTCAAATATTTGGGCATTAAAATTCAAGAAAGGGGTTTAGCATAGGAAAAAAAAAAAAAAAATCATAAAGAGTAAGAAGACAAATTATTGAAGTAACTCGTCACGTACAATTGCGCAACAGCTCGAGCGCTTTCATAAAAATATCACGTTCTCTTTTATCAGAATCAAAGATACATTTAACTACAATATTTGAAAGAAAGAAAAAAAAAACAAGAGAAAGAGAAATGGACGCTTATACCGAAAAGGAAAAGAGTCTTCTTTTCTTTTTTTTTATTAATGCAATACTTATTGATGGAAGTCGAAAATCATAATTTCGACGCTGAAAATAGGCATGTCTTATCGTTTGAAGAAAAACTTACGAGATAAAAGCACAATACGTTATTATATACCACGTATTAAGATATCTCGAGGATAATAAATATTTTCACTTATGTCTCAATAATTCTTATATAGCGCACTACCACCACCACAACCATCACCACCATCAATCACAACCACCACCACCATCACTACCATCGCCATCACCACCACCCACCACCATTACAGAATCATCACATCATCATGGTCTTATATCGAGTAACCATTAATTGTCTGGCGCTCCATCAAAAATTCCATCTTTATAAATACGATTTTTAACTAAAATTACTGTCGCAGTACTACATTGGAAGTGAAATACGTCGAGCCAAGACAGAATCAGGACGGGCACTTACAAAGCAAATAGTACATAAGAATGAGCGTGGAAACGGACGTAAAAACATCGAATTGATAGTATATGATTGCAAAAACCATTGCTTTAAGGGACAGACAATCAAAATTCCCTTTGATTTAAATTGTTAACAATAAGGAAATAACTTATACTTTTATAGGGAAAGTAGGCCAAACGCTCAAAACCACTTTTTCTGAATTCTCTCTCTCTCTCTCTCTCTCTCTCTCTCTCTCTCTCTCTCTCTCTCTCTCTCTACCACTCACTCGTCTCTTATGCTGGCATGTGACATCGACTCTGCACCTCGGCAATTATTTACGATAAAAGATGCAAGGCAACGAGATCGAATAAATAGTCGCCGTTTCTAGAACAGCAACGAGATCTCCTCGGGAGTGCTCGGTGTTATCGTTGAGCGACGACAAGAAGGAGGGCAAACAAATCAAGAGAGGGAGGCACATCTGAGGGACTTCCGGCCTTGAGAACCAGACAAGTTTGCGTGCAAAGACCTTACCATCGCACGAGCTTCTAGCGCGACGGAATTTTCTCCCCAGCAAAGGTCGTCGTAGTCGTAGTCGTAGTCGTAGTCGTTATCGTAGGCGTTGTCGTGATTGTCATTGTCGTGAACGTTTCCGTGGTCATCATCATCATCATCGTCGTCGTCGTCGTCGTCGTCGTCGTAAAATCAGAGATGGACGCGGGGTCGAAAAAAAAGAGAGAGATAGAGATAGATAGATAGATAGATAGATAGATAGATAGATAGATAGTTAGATAGATAGAGATAGAGGTCAATATATCGACAAGGCTCCGATGATACATTATCGGTAGGTCGCCGAGAGCCATAAGGGGCCCGCACTCCCGTGGTTCCCGAAAATCCCCATGGCTCACCGGGTGCTAGGGCGATTACGGGGACCGGGCGGCCAGCTCGGTAGCAGTCGGGCGACTCCTCGGGCAGCGTCTCGAGGCCACGAAAGCTGGCGAAGCTGCTGGCGACGGCGACGACGTCGAGTACCGCCTCGTCGAGCGTCCTCAGCGCCTCGTCCTCGACGAAGCGCGGCAGGTCACCGTCGGCGCCGGCCGCCGCCTTCCTCGACACGCAGCAGAGCATCGCGATACGTGATGCCGTACGTGGTGCGTACGTCGCGTCGGCGCGCCCCGGCTCCACTGAGCTGACCGGCGAGTCGCGAGCTCGTCGGTGCCGCCGACTCGACTCCAGACGAAGATGGAGAGATGCAACGATCGAGCGGGGGGGCTGGGGAGGGGCGACGGAACCGACGAGGTGAGGCCGAGCGCGAGCGACGAGGCGGAAGGGGTTTATTTTCGTCTAGGAATATGGGAGTGCGGTAATTGGCTCGCCCCGGCTAAGCTGGAACTTTCACTCCACACGAGCGATTCCGTGCTCCACCGCCCGCGTCGACGGGGCTTTGAGGTTAGATTTGCGAGCGGGAGTGACGAAGCCTACGCCACCATTACCGCACTTTATTTATAACCGTTCGCTCCATTCCATCGGTGACTTCATTTCCAAGAGATTTTTTATTTATTGTTTTTTCTTTTCTTTTCTTTTCTTTTTTTTTTTTTTTTTTTTT